TTGATTGTTTATATCCCCATGGAAAACACATCTCAGAATGGCCCAAGTATCTATGCAGGCAGCCAGGGTCTTGATCTGGCTGGCGGTATAGGGTACTCGGATGGCTTGTGGTCCTGAGCCAAAATGTTGGACAGCTCTATCATGCGCTTCAAGGGCCAATGAAGCGACTGCCTCCGGGTAATGCTCTATGACTTTTGCAGGTGAGACCTTAGGGTGTATCCACAGTAGTGGTCCTTTCTGCCAAATCACCGCTGTAGGCTGTAGACTAGTCTGTAGCAAACAGACATCAAAGGGTCGCCCTGGTTCAATTCTGTGTAAGGTAGCCCCACCTAAGGCTTTTTCCACTCTCTGTAAGGCAGCTCTTGCCTCAGGAGTGAGCCTCCTGTGGGAGGCTATATCTGGGTCTCCCTTTAGAAGGTCGAACAGGGGTTTGAGATCTGAATTTGGTATATGTAAATATGGCCTAATCCAATTAATGTCTCCCAATAGCTTTTGCATGTCATTTAGGGTCCTAACGCCATCCGTCCTAATGGTGACCTTCTGCGGAGAGACTAGCATAGGGGAGATTCTCGCGCCTAAGTAGGTCACCATTTCTCCTCCCTGAATCTTGTCGGGGGCAACATGTAGATTAGCTTGTCTCAGGGCCTCGACCAACTGGCTGAGCATATTATTTAGCATGTCTGGGTCCCTGCCGCTGAGCAAAAGGTCGTCCATGTAATGCATACATCTTATCTTGGGAAAGGATTTTCGTAGGGGGGCCAGTAGGGAATCAAGGTAAATCTGACACATAGTGGGACTGTTGGCCATGCCTTGGGGCAACGTTACCCACTCGTATCTGAGATCAGGGCTTTCTTGGTTAATGGTGGGCAAAGTAAAGGCAAACCTATGAGTGTCCTCTGGGTGCAGGGGAATTGAGAAGAAACAGTCTCTAAGGTCTATAACATAAACTGGCCAGGACTGAGGGATGGCTGAGAGAGCTGGCAGCCCCCTCTGGACCGCCCCCAGGGGCTGCATCTGCGCGTTGACCGCCCTTAGATCATGGAGCAGCCTCCACTTGCCAGACTTTTTCTTAATTATAAAAATGGGGGTGTTCCATGGGGAGGTTGACGGCTTAATATGTCCTAATCTGAGTTGTGTACTGACTATTTCTGACAAGGCTAATAGCTTCTCCTTAGGCAGGGGCCACTGAGGTACCCAAACCGGATCATTTGATTTCCAGGTGATTTTGATCGAAGTGGGTAGGAGAGCTTCTTCAGCGGCCCCTAAGAAAAACCCAATCCTTGCCTACCTTTTTTGTTTTCTACTGGTATTGGGGATGTCCGACCCTGTAGGGCATTGCCCAAGCCTTTGCCGGGGGTATATCCCTGGTTCCTGAGTATATCCTTAGCCTGGGGGGAGCAGTTTGACGCAAGCGTGACATCCATCTGAGTGAGGATGTCCCTTCCCCATAGAGACACTGGCAACTGCAACACAAACGGTTGGAAATGGCCCTGATGACCCTCCTCATCGCACCAGAGCAGGGTTGAAGCGCTAACCTGAGGAGCTGACACCATCCCCAGGCCCTGCAGCGTGTTATCTGCAGTGTTGGTGGGCCAGTTGGAAGGCCAATCCTTTCTGGAGATAATGGAACGGTCAGCTCCTGTGTCTAGGAGCCCTGTTATATTCTTGCCATTGACCTTAAGTGAGAGCATGGGCCTTTTACCAAGTGTCATATGGAGTCCCTCAAAGACTTCCCCTGAGGAACCGAAACCTTGACTTTCTCTAATTTTCTGCTTTGAGGGAAATCTCTTGTGGAGACTGGGGAGCAGCAAGAGCTGCGCTATCTTGTCTCCTTTATTAATTACCATAGTACCCACAAGAGATTGAACCATAATTTTAATATGTCCTGTGTAGTCTGAGTCTATGACCCCCGGGACTACTGTGAGACCCCGAAGGGCCGTGGAGGATCTCCCGATCACCAGACCCACGGAATTTTCGGGTAACGGTCCCTTAAAGGTGGTTTCAACCACTTGAACACCCATATCAGGCACTAATATAAGTCCTGAGGCGACACTGAGGTCCACACCTGCTGACCCAGGGGTGGCCCTTGTTGAAGGCTGCCATCCTGAGCTGTCCTGTCTCTGGGGCGGGGGCCCGTCTGTGAAGGGGGCCCCCTCTGGCCGTTTTTTGGCTCTCTAGCATCTTGTCCACAAATACGGTTGCCCTGAGCATCAAAGACCGACCTACACTCCTCAGCTTTGTGTGATCCCTTCTTGCATCGCCCACAAACATATGGTTCTTCATTCCTAGGGCGAGGCCTAGCATCTGCATTGTTTGGGCAGTGACGTTTAATGTGTCCTGGCTCCCCGCAGGCAAAACACCCTTTAGCCTTACATTCCCCTTCTAACCCTCGAGGTCCCCTCTGCTGTATAGCCGCGGCCAGGAGAGCAGCCACTCCCGAGTTGGAGAGCGGCCCCCCTATCTCTCTGCATATCCTAATCCAGGCATTGAGGTCCTTGTTCTTATGAGGAGCTATCGCTGCCTTGCACTCCTTTGTACACTGTTCGAAAATCAGCTGCCTTACCAGCGGTCGAGCCACTCCCGGATCAGAAAATATCTTATCGGCAGCATCTTGCATTCGGGCCACAAAGTCAACAAATGGCTCTGTGGTACCCTGAATTATTTTTGAAAGACATAAGGAGGCTGTTCCAGCACCACTTACTTGCTTCCAGGCGCGGAGTCCTATGGCATTGATTTGCTCATAGACAGCGCCGGGGAACTGGGTCTGGTCATCAGCGTGCCGACCTTCTCCCATAAGCATTTCCTTGTTCCACCCCCGGTTTCCTCGATTGGCGTTTTTCTCAGCCTGCTCGGCAGAGAACTCTGCATACCAGGCTCGCCAATCCAGGTAACTGCCCGAGGGCAGACAGGCCTTTGCCAGCTGAATCCAGTCCGCGGGGGTGAGGGGCCCAGAAGACAGATTCTCCAGCATGGCAATGGTGTAAGGCGCAGTCGGCCCAAAGGTTGTAACTGCATTTTTAAGTTCTCTAATCTGCTTTATCTCAAAAGGCTCCCATACATTGCGTCCCTGGCCCATAGCTACTTGTACAGGAAATATCTCGTAGGGGCCACTATCTATCCCAGGTGGATGTACCTCATGAGACAAGCGTCCCCCCTGCCAAAGCCGCCTGTAAAAATACCGACCCGCCGGCGGCGGAGCATAAGACAGCGGCCGTGATTGGGCGGAAAATGGGGGCCCGTGCATCACTTCCTGTTCTGGCGAAAGGGGAGGGAGCTCCCAGGCGGCCGCCTCGTGGCGAGGGACCGCCTCCCTCTCGCGCCGGGGCGCACTCAGGAGCTCTCTACTCCTCCGCAGACCAGGTTGAGCAGAGCGCAATTCGCGGGGCAACGCTGGAAAAGAACCCTGCGACTCCTTATTGAGCGATTTAGGCTCCTGACAGCTGGTCTCTTTGGCCTCCCTGCCATTCAACTTTCCCTCGTCCTCGGAGTCAGACGACTCCGAGGCTAGAGCCCCGTCCTCCTCCTTAGCATCCTTGTTCCCCTTGACAGACACCTCTCGGGAGCTCCCTGACTGGGCCTGCTCAGATACCCTGCGTACTTTTGTAAGCTCTTGAGAGCTTTCTCCACAACCACCCTCGCTCTTAGTGTTGCTACCTAACATGTTTCCCATCTTTTAATATGTTACTCACCGCGTGAGGCCCAAGGAATCCGCCACTTACGCGTGAGCCTGAGGGGAGTCTAAAAGCCCTGTAGGTGCGCGCCACCCAGAGCCCAGGCTTATCCCCAACTCACCTGTCTCGCAGCTCTGTACTGGAGCGTTGTCCACTTCCACGTCGCGGGGGTGATCAGTCCCCGGGCGGGCCTCCAAATGTCGATGTCCGCTCCCGGCCGGCAGGAAGGACACACGACAAAGTCTGGTAGTGGACAACCTTTTCTTTTTATTTTCCTTCTCCGTACAGCCTGCCCTGGGTTCTCCCAGCTGAAGCCTCCTCTGGTCCGCTCCCCGCGGCTCCTTTTGTGCTTCAGTCTGCCCCAAAGCCTCTACCGGTCCGCTCTCCGCGGCTCCTTTTGGGCTTCTACTTCCGGGCTTCTATCTGGCTTCTACTTCCGCCCAGGGGTGGCACCGGTATATATACGGGTACAGTGTCCAATCATGTTAAAGTAAGCAAGGCAAGCTGATTGGCTAACATCATCAGTTGCCAGGCAGACTATATTGTTGAGCGGGTTGTTTACGCGGTAAGCAGGAAACTAACATATTCGATGGGAGGGGTAATCTACCTCAGGCCTCACTCTTTACTACAGGCCTCACGTCCGCCAAGTGAGGCGACCGGGCTCGGGGCTGCGGCTCCCAACAACTATCTGCTTGCAAGGCAGGCGCTTAGCCGCTGAGCTAAATCCCCAGCCCAGGCTTCTCCCTTTTTAGTAATCTAACCATCCTGTCTGTTGTTCAGATGGCCCCTTTAATCTCTGACTGCTACAATTCATTACTCTGAAAATACTTGGAGCAGTTTTAGTGAGTATATTGGAGAGTTTATCTGGGGTCCACATGAGTCCTAAAATATGCACAAATTATGTGCAAATTTTTCTCGTTATGTGGTACATATTTAAGGATTTTATTGAAATAAAGCTCTTGTAAGGATTTCAAAAAACTCGAAAGTGATATTGCCAACATGAACAAGTACATATCTTTCTCACATAATATTTATCATTGCCAGGGGTTCAGCTCAGCGGCATAAGTGCCTGCTTGGCAAACATGAGGTTGTGTTTGATCCCAGCAAAAAGAAGAGAAAAAAAATAAATATATATATCTATATATTACAATTCTTAATTGCCAGTAATTTCTAAATTTCTAGTAGTTATTAAAACCATTAACCTTTGGCAATCCCAAGAAACCACAGAATCAGAGGTTAAGCAATGCTTTGTAGAAAAATCTCACACAAATTATGAATATTTCAGAGTTCTGACCAGTTCTCAGCATCTTTCCCAAGAAGAAACACAAGTCTTAGAATCTCTTTTATTTGAGCATTAAGAGATCGTAGCATAGTGACTAAAAACTGTTTTCAGAATGTCAGCAACAGCAGTGAACAGACCTTGTGTGCCTTTGAAAAACTTCTTCAGCTTTTACACAGTCATTAACAGAAAACACAAGTACCCCTCATTTGCATTCAAAGTGAAGAACAAGGCACTCGCACTGTAGTGAGTAAACAATGTACACTGGAAAAATGTGCTTGCATTTGTATTGTAGGTAGTTAAGAAGATATGAACACAGGACACCTAGAAGTAAAGGAAATCAAAACAGAGGAACAAACAAGGATGTACAAGCAGGCACACGGATGAGAAGCACCAGTCTCTTTAGGAGGCAACCAAGAAAATCTTTCAAATGCTTTTAAAAGGAACTGTAATCAGGGGCAGAAATCTGGGCTCAGCATCTCAACTGCTGGTATTCTCATGACACAGGAGCTAAGTGATGCCACACCTGCCCTGAGCTGTCAGTTTCTTCTCCACCGGTCTGTCTGGAGCAAGTCCTCTTGCACTGGTGGCCATCAGAGCTCACACTGGGGGAACAGGAGCACTGCCTCCATTTTGGCCAATGTGGGTTATTTTGCCTCTATGGTACAAATATATTCATTTTAAGTAAATCTGCTTTCAAAAATGGGTTAGAAAAGCTATTCAACAGGTGGGATTTTTCTTTCTTGAAAATCATCTGGAGGCTGATCTAATGTCCACTGAATTAAATGCCTCATGTCTGATGAAAGTTGTGCCAGGAACTTAGGGACAGAGAAAGATCAAAGATCTCCATGAGAAAAAATACAGAATTGGCTTTTAAAAAGAAGGCTCCAATTTACAACTAAAATTCAACATATTAAAGTCTAAAGATCAACATTAAACTGGTTATTGACTTACAAAATAAGTAAAAATTGACATAATGCTTCGCTCCTCTATAACGAACCTTATGTGATTATAACATTTTACTTTTTCCCCATCCTTAGCGTTAGATACACTCAGATGCACGGAACAGCTCTGTAGAAGTCAGCTTCCAGTTACAAGGGAAAGGTCTGACTCCTAAGAGAGGAAGGACTTAACCCTTATTTCAAATAATAAATAGTTTTAAAATCACTATGTACAGCAGTACAGCACCACCATGTCACCGATTTCAGTGATGAAAACCTAAGGACAGTAACCTCCCACAAGATCTCCTGCTGCCCCCCAGGGTGAACTGCTCCTGTGGCCCAGGCCTGTGCGACACACTTTCTGCACCTTCTCCTCGTGGTCCTGTTTCCTTCCCTAGCGCAGGACACATTTCATAAGCTTTCAGATAAAGATATTTTTAACAAAAGCCAAACCCTCACTCATCCCTGCTCCTGCCCTGATCCACCTACTGAAAACAATCCCTAAATCTGTGCTCCAGGCAACAGCATGTGTAGGAGTGAGTGCAGGTGTGTATCTGTGTGTCAAGGTGGCTGTAAGGGTGCCTGTGCAACAGATGTGTGTGATTCTGTGTTTGTGTGTGTGTGTCTACGCCTGGGCATATGTGAGTGTGTACACTCGGCACAGAGAAGAAAAATCCAAGAAGATCCACCTGTGATGTAACAGCCTTGTTCCCATCGTTTCCAAAATCAGAAATGTGATTAACTTCGTGTTTCCAGGCTTTCCAACACCTCTAACAGTTTTCTGGGAAAAAACAAAATCATAAATGAAGCACCAGGTGCCCATTGTACAACAGGAAGTCACTCTCCTGTTTACCTCCCCGCTCCCTCTGAGGCAGGCAGGGCCTGTGTCCACAGTGATGCCCACAGTGGACAGAAGTAACACAGGGCCTTCTTAGCCCGGGCTGTAGGTCTCTGGGACCTCAGCAAACCTTGGGTGGGGGCTGGGGAGGAGCTCCACAGTTGCAAACTTCCCCTGAACTGCAGGGCACTAAGAGGGGGCCAGGGAGGGTAAAACAGGAGGCAGGCCCCAGATTAGGGCCGAGCTCTGCCCCACCGAGGCCACTGGGCTTACGGGTGCTGGGAGGTGGGCAGTGTACCGCGGAGCAAGCATAGGTATCGGGAGGCTGTGCTGGGGTGCGGTCCGGAGAGTGGTGTGGCCTCCCGGGTCCGCCGGCTCACAGGGTGCTCAGGTGCGGCAGCGAGCCTAAGGGTCCAACGCGGTCGCGCGCGGCGGCTGCCGACTCCACACCGCGAAGCCACTCGGTGCACTTGCGCACCAGGCCCTCGTCGCGCACCTCGACCTCCTCCTCGTACTCCACGTCGTCGTACTTGTGCCGCTCGTTGAGCAGCGACACCTGCAGCGCCGGCCGCTGGTCGGGAGCCTGCACGCCGCGGGTAGCGGGACGGCGGGCGGGCAGGCGCCGGGGGTCCAGGGAGGGCGCGGGGAGGGGCCTGTGGGGCCGGGCCAGCAGCTGCTTCTCCAGGTGGCGCCTCTGGATGACTAGGATGGCTTCGGGGGTGAGGCTCAGGGAAAAGCGCGTGGCGCCGTCGGTCCCTGTCCCCGCCGAGATCCCCACCTGGCTGTGGCCGGAGCCAGCGGGCCGGGGCGCGGTGCACGTGGCCGAGGTCCCTGCGCGGCCCGGTGAGGCCTGGGGCGGGGCGCGCGCGGGGGCAGGCGGCCTTTTCAGGGTGGCCGAGGGCCAGGAGCTGGAAAGGAGCCCCTCGGGCTTCTCGGGGGGCCGCCTCTTCTCCCTGGCGCTGGCGGCAGGCGGTGCGCAGGGCCTGCGAGGCGGCGGGCGCGCGGCGGGGACCCCTGGAGTGGACGCCGGCGGGAAGGGCATGGTCGGGCTGCCCTCAGCGCTCTGGAAGGAGATGGGCGGGTCTTAGCCCTGCGAGCCCCTATTACTCCATCTGTTGCAGGGCGGCCAAGCCCGCTACACCCACCTGCGTTCAGCCGCAGAATCTCCAGCCCGGGACTTGCAGCAGCGGCGCCGCCCACCTCCCCCCGCCCCTTGCGGCCCAGGGCGCCCCTCCACCCTGGGCTCCGGGATAAACCCTGCAGGCACCCACCGGACAAGGGACCGCGGGCGAGTGTGGCGCCGCCGCCGGGTCCGCTCCGCGGAGACGCGCCCGGCTGGGCCGGCGGCTGGAGGAGGAGCTGCCGCGCTCGTCGCGGGGCGCGAGCCTGACAAGTCTAGAGCTGGTGTCACCACCGACTGTCGAGTGCCGGAGACAAAGTGCCAGACAGAGGCGGGGCGGGAGCTGGAGCCCAGCGCCTCTACCCTCTTTCTTCCCCCAGCTGGCTCTTCCATCAGAGGCGGGGAGCGGGTCCCTGGGGGAGCCGGTGGTGCTTCGCACGTTAGAAAGAAAATCCTTTGAGATACTGAGAAAGAGACCTGCGGATCAATCTGGCCGTTCCAGGCGCACGTTCTGGAATTACCGAGAAGGGTGGTAGGGTGCTGCGAGGGGGGCCTCATAGAGTCATTTCTGGTTCACTTACAGTTAATGCCACTCCCTGAAGAGTCGTTTTAAAATTAAAAACCTAATTTACTATTCAAACCTAATTATAAGTAAAAGTTTCAGCTATATAATGATATCATTGAAAAAAATGTAACATTATTTTAGTGATTATTCAAAGCAGTTTTTTTTCCACTATAGCACTGGTTGATTAAAAATGAATATTCACCATCAATTTATGTTCTGGCTGCAGACGCATGAAAATATTCCTACACTACCCTTACGTTTATGAATAAATCAAAAAGTTTCATATGACCAATCCTGCATTACCTAAGGCTAATTATCAGTTGTTTAGTTCACCAAAAACTCCTTTTCCATCCCATCAGTTTTCCTAGGTAAACCTGGGTTGTGATGGTTACCACCCTCCCCCGCTTAGCTCAGAGCATATGCAAATGTGAGTAAACTGGTGACGTCTGCCAAGTCATAGTAGGATGGCACAACCCCATCCCCGCCCCCCAGCTCCTCCTGCAGCAGCAGCAACCAGATAGCTGTTGGATACAGGTGAATAGTCAAGCAAATTTGATTAGTGGCAGGAACATTTCCCACCAGACTTGGGAGGGGGCTGGTGATAACTTCCACTAGCACCTCAAAACCACCCCGTATTTACATACTCTCACAAACTGCAGACACTTTCAAAATTGGATGCCAGGTCACAGGAGCCTTCCCCATCTGTCAAGGCCTCTGGGACACCCAGCCTCCACCTGTGGGCTCAATTTAACTCCTAAGGTGCTGGAAGCACACATGCATCTTATTCCAGGTTAGAGTGTTTAGGAGGGTATAGGAATAGTTGTGCAAACTAAGGCTGCTGGCCAACAGCTCTGTGCCAGGAAAGGATGGGGGGCTTGAGGTCAGATGCAATCTATGGACACAATTTGAGAAGAAAATAAACTAACTGCTGGATAACAAGATGTCACCTCTGACCCAAGCAGGAGCCTGTGATAACATGCAAAATCAAGTGAGCTGACAGATTATATATGTCCTAACTCTTAAGATGCTTTAGCAGTAATGATAGTTTGGAGTGAGGGTGAGAGGCAGGGGTGGCCAGGCAGCCTCATAAGACTAATAGGAGCTTACACATACTCATGAAAGTCCGTGAGGCAAGCACTCCCTCGATTTCCGTTTCTCTGTCTATTGTACTGAGCAACTGAAGTACCAGCCCAATACCATCTATCTCCAGTGAGCTTCAACTCCAGGAATGTGAGTCCAAACCCAGAAGGGACTATCACTAAACAGAAGGAAAAGTCAGTTGGTAGGGGGCTAGACTTTGTGAGTACCCACCTCCAAACTAGAAGAAATCTGGGCACACACAAGCCAAGAAAATACTTTTTCTGGAATGACGTTTTTTTTTTTTTTTTTTTTTTGTCTTTTTGACACGGTTTTACTGTGCAGGTCACACTGACCTTCAACTCACTTTGTAGCCCAGGCTGGCCTCAAATGTGCAGGGATCCTACCTCAGCCTGCCCACTGCTGGGATTACAGGGATTTGTATTACCACGCCTGACCTGGACTGATGTACATGTGAACCGGACTAGGAACTGGAATCTCTATGTCCTCCCAGATGGTCTGTCCCAGCCCAGAAGCTGGGATCTGGGAAGCTGCAAGTTGGCCTGCTCCTTGAGAAACAGGGAGAAAATGCCAAGTGCCCAGGAAGAGCATGTGTGCCCTGGAAGCCCAAGCCCAAAGGCACGTTTTTGGGGAACGCAATGTGCTCCTCCTGTAGCTCGATGTGGCTGCTGCCCACCAGGAGTGGAAGTATCACAGTTCCTGACAACACTGTTCCATTTTGACTCCGACAACAGCATCCAAATGCTGGCAGCACTTGTCCCTTGCCAAGTTACCTCTATGGCTCGAGACCTTTTAGCTTTTTAGAAGTTAGAAAAGTGCTTTGGCCTGGAAGGGAGCACAGGAAAACAGCACTAGCTGCTGGCTAAAGTCACTGGCACCAACTGTCGCATGGCACTAGCTCAGCATGGGCAGCCAGTGACAGTCACAGCAGGGAGATGACACCAAGAGAAAGTGGCCAAACAACTTTAAGATAGGAGTTGCACTGCAAAGTGATGAGTTAAAATATTCAAGATTTAATAGGATTTTGTGGAACATTTCAGAACACAGGAATACTCATACTCAGCAGTGAAACATGAACACTACAACACCTAGATCACCTGTTTCAGAACCATTATCTTTTGCTGGACAAGATGGCCCATGCCTATAACTACTGTTACAACCTCAAAAGGCTGAGGCAGGATTGTAAGTTTGAGGCCAACCTGGGTAACTTAGGTGGCCCTGTCTCAAGATAAAAAGGAACCAGTCTTTAGCTTGGAGTATGGCTATATACTTAAGATAGGAGTTTACTAGGCTAACTGGCTGGTAACAAGATGACATCATGTCCACTGTCACAGCTGAAGTTCACATTCAGGATTTTTCAACTGAGCCACTGAAAATTCAACAATGGCTTCACAGAGGCCTCAAAAATGTTTTCATGGCTAGTATTACACTTCAAGAGATGATTTCATCAGGGTTTATGAAGAAACACACCACGAGGTCCAGGGTTCCATTCTGGGGATAAAAAAGATGGAGGTTTGCAAATACCAATGTGAGTTTTTCCTTGATGCTGGTCCCTGTGCAAGGTCCCCCACTTGACCTCCCCAGCTACTGGACCCCAAGCTCCTGGCAGTTACCTGGGTCCCTGGCATACAGGGTCTTGCTTCTGACCCTCCAAGGATCTGAGAAGTGCCAGGGGTCTTGCTGTGACAGCTGCCACCAACCCGTGTGGCCAGAACCTTGGGGGATGATGCAGACATACCAACGTGGCTTCTTGCTGACACCTGCCATGCATGTCCCAGCCTTAGCAGCCTGTACCACTTACTCTGACACCCAGGCCCAGACATGCTTCTTGCTGGCTCACTGTGGGATCACTCAGGCACTGAGTTCACTATGTCCCAAAGCATCAGACAGAAGTATAAAATCAGCCTTTTCTGTATTTCACTGCAGCCTAATCTAACAAACAAGATGCCCATGCCCTTTTTATTAGTCTACATACTAGTGCATGTGCTAGCACTGTTCATGCTTTTTTTTCTTCCAAGGATCCAATGGAGTCAAAACCAGTCCAACCTCAGTTTTAACTTTTTTTCTTTGAAATAAACAATGTGAAGCCTAGAGTGAAGTGCTTGATCAGGCTCTCACAGAGGTGGATGGCCCCACTCAGACCCCCATGCAGAGGGCAGGCAAAGCTGCTCAGAACCCCTCGTCCCAGCTCCAGAGTGCTCTTTCCTTCCTTAGAAACCAGCTGCTGAATGTCACGAGAGCTGTTTCTCAGGTGTTCATGTCAGCAAATATCAACATTTAGGGATGCCTTTGAGGATCCAGAAAAAACAGTGGGACACTAAACACAGAAGCACTAAATTGTGCACCATGGGGGCATGGCAGGTGAACGTGAACATGAAACTCTAAAGCCTATTCATGGACCCGATTGCAAGCTCTTGGCATGAATTCTCGGGGAGGCTCCTTGCACTTTCATGTGAACTAACCTTGGGTGCCAGCCACACAGCCTCAAGCACACACTAACATGCTTGTCAACTGTAATCCCTGCTCCTGCTGTTGGCCAGCTGGATAAGTACCTAAAAGACAAGGAAGGAGAGGGACATAAAAGAGGAAAGGCAGGTAAGGACATAGCACACACGGTCACACTGAAAATTTGATTCAGAAGTCGGATGGCTATAGGGCCGCTCCCTGAAGACAGGCCTGAAGAATCCTACAGTTGCTTAGACTCATAGGCATCCTCTCTGAACTAAAAAGAAGCTGAGGGCTGGGGATATAGCTCAGTGACACAGCACCTGCCTGGCAAGCATGAAGCACTGAGTTCGATCCCTCATACCCCAAAAAATAAATAATAAAGTCTGAATTATAACTACTGTACTTAAGGTCCACCCAAAAAGAAGTTGAGGCATAGGTTTTTAGCTAGTCCTATTCATGTCCACTTCCTCTGAGGATGAAATTGTAGCCAGCTTCCCACTCCTCCTACTGGACTCTGACATCTGTCCTCCCTGCCCTGCATCCTTGCAGGGGTGAAGATGCTGCAGACTCAACAGGATGGCATTCAAATCCCCACGCTAAGACCAGTCTCCTGTCCCCTCTGCAAAAGGGCACAGCAGGACACCCAGTCTGAGACTGGTGCAGAGCCTACGCTCACAGCTCAGGCTCCTGACCCCAGCAGCCCAGGTCTTTCAGATTCCTGGGCACACCGTCCACTGCTGCCACTTCTGGGCTGCATCTGAAGGTATCCTCTTTATCCGGGAATCCTGAGAATTCCCAGCAAGGTGAAACCATGTCTGTCTTCTGGTGCATCTCCTCACAGCCTCAGAAGATTTAAGAACCTGAGCTGTGCCCCACCCCAACGAGGGCCTGTACTCAAAGGTGCTCCATTTCTGAGAACCTTGGGATCTCCTCACTTACACAGCAGCACACACCAGGGTGGGTCTGAAATGCACACCACCCTAACTGTAACTCTGACAGGGGTCTCCACTCTGTCTTCTGCTTCTGGAAAAGCAGGCTCCAGAGCAGGGTGGATGCATTGTTCTCTGCTGGCCATCTGTGTGCTCTGTCCCATGTGGCTCTCGCTCAGGAAGGACTCCAGAGTTCAGCAGCTGGGCTGCCTGGACTTCCAGTTTTCCAGTTGATGCCTATTTATCTCAAATGGATTCCTAGAAGACACCTCTTTTGGTGAGGCTAACCCCAGCCCAGCCAAGCAGATAGCACTTGCACTTTTAAAAGTCAACAGCCACACTGTGAGAGTAATAAAGCCCTAAAAGTCTAATTGTTACTATAAAAAAAAAGAGGAAAGTAAGGTGGACTAAGGGATATAACCGCAGGTATGTTTGAGTGTGTAGGATGGAAAACCATATAACTGAGCTTGTGTTGGATCACTGCACGGAACTGTCTCCAATTTCACTGTATGAATGTTCACTTTTTATGCTTTAATTTAGTGATATGGACAACTGTTTCTGAGAAGATAATATGTAACCTATTAACTGATGATTTCGTACTGTATATATTTTTTTCTAGAAATAATGTATTATTTGCACCCTTTTACTGCATTGTTTTTTTATGTCCTTTTTTTTTCTTCTCTCTTTAAATAAATAAAAAAAAGTCAACAGCTACTTCTCAAGGGGGTTCCCAATTCTGTTTTCTTGCCTGTATAATATTCCTGTCTCATAATGACAGGGAAGCAGACTAGATGATTCAGGCACAGCAGAGCACAGTGGAAGCAAGAATGTACATGCCTCTCACAGACCTTGGACACCCACAGTGTGTGCCTGCAGGACCTTTCCAGGACCACATGGAAGAACAGGCCCACAGAGGATACACAACACACAAGGGCTTTTCCCCAACCTGTGTTAAGAACTAAACTCTTATTTTTATTACTACTGTCATTTGTTAGTTGTCTAAAGCAAGACTCTTGCCCTTTGGAATGTGTTTTCTACAGCCTGTTTCCTGCACTCACCAGCCCCACCTCCTCCACACCAGCTGACTGCTGGCCTCTGCCTGACTGCTGCCATGGCCTGCCCCACAACTAGTGAACTGCATTCCACCCCACAGCACCCCATGGAGTCTCTGTGGCAGTAGCCTGTACACTTTATTATAACAACTGACACCTACATGGGGCCAAGATGTGGTGCTGTCTGTGGTACCTCCTTTCCTTAGACTGTGCTCTCCCTGTAACAGTGAAGGAGGGGGCTGGTCATCTGGTTCAACTTCCACTGTCCTTGGGTCTGATCCTGGCCTACCCTCTCCTCCTGCTACCCACTTGGTTACACCAATGACCTCAACTACTCATAATGCCCTAGCAATCACTACTCCATCATGCAGAGACTCATCTCCCCAAAGATCTGTCTGCTGTCCCAATAGAACATTTGTTACCCCTGGTTTATATTGCTAACTATGCAAAAGCAATTCTTCTGCCCCCTTTTGTGGCTCTTTTCCTTAAGTAACCTCACTCGCCTGAGAGAGGACTGCCTTTCCTTCACACTACCTGCACTGACCATGTCTACTTGGCCCTTCCTGCTGCACATGAGTAGGCTAGGACCTGCCCATGAAGGAAGGGGGGTGCCACGCTACGGCGGCTTTCTCTCTGCTACCTCTCAATGGCCACCTCCTAGTTCAGTGGTGGTCTCCTGCCCTGATTCTCACCGTAGGGTAAAGCAGCTTCCTGTTGCTGCTGGCATCTGGGTCACCTCCCCTCTTGCCAGCAACTTCATAATCAGTGCCCCACTTACATCCCTCCCAGATTGCCTCAGTGGTGCTGTTTTCAGTGCTAATCTCTTTTGCACACTGTGCTCAGTGGTAATACTTAGGAGAGAATCTATATATTCTTCCTCTACATAAATACAGCATGAAGCAAATTTATTAAGTTGAATCATTTGAAATACTGTAAATTGAATCCATAAAATGTTATTTTTCCAAAATCGGTTTATTTCAAATTGTAAAGATATATATTATTTTTATTACATGTACATAATAAGGAATTTTAAGCGTAAAGTAAAAAGCTTCACATTTTCAAAGTTAAAAAATGGGTAGCTTAAAAATGTAGATGTTTTAAAAGCCAAACAAGCTGCATGTATCTCACAGCACAGATTTATCCCTTAAATATTCACATTTCAAAAGCTTCTTTGAAAACATTAAAAAAACCACTGGCTAAAGAGTATTTACAATTGACAATGATTAAAATCTCATCTTTGGAAGCCCATGTTAATAGTACACAGTGCATTTAAAGCAATGAGCATGGAACAGTTTAACTAAGAGTGTTTTACCAGAACACAAAATGGGCCTGCAACGCTGCGGGAGTGATCATTGCACCAGGGACAGCCTCCTGCACAACAGACTGTCCCGCTGCATTCCAGTGTCCTTTCCCATGTGACGTTTCTGATTTTTCAATTTAGTATAGAAGAACAGCATTTAAGTACTGCATCCCTGATGAAAACAAGGGAAAAAACAGAATGTAACAAATATTCCTTAAGAGCAAATCTACAAAATGAGTTTCTGCCAATTGCAAGACAGCTTTTTTACAATGTACATGTACAGTTCTAAATATCACCTAAAATAAAAGCTGAGACTGGAATATTGTGCTAATTTCCAAAATGCTGTTTACTTTAGGAAATCTTCACCAGCACATATGCTGATCTTAATATAAAGAAAAACATTTTAAAAACCAAAAATAGCCTACTGAAAGAATTAACTCTGACAAATTAACTTTGACAAGGAATAAATGGAGCCAGGGATACAGCTCAGATGCACAAGCGCCTGCTTGACAAGCACAAGGTTCGATTTCCAGTACAAAAAAAAGAAAAAAAAAAGAATGAATAAACTGAGTTTTATGTTTTGTTTTGGTTTTGGTTTCTTGACACAGCTTCTCACTTTTGAAACTCATGCTGGCCTTTAAAGCCTGATCCTCCTGCCTCAACCTCCCAGATGCTAGGATTACAGGCATGTGCCACCACACCCAGCGAGAAATGGATTTGAAAAACACCATGATTTATCACTGCATCCTAAGAATTATAAAACACGACTGTGATAAACCTCATGTATCTTTCATATTTTCATCCATAACTGCATGTTTGAATTATTACATAATACATTAAAAAAAAAAAAACCTTTTACTTAGACTGTTAAAAATATCTGCCAAGGGACAACGCACAATGTATCACTGATATCCCTTGATTGACGTGTTTTGAAATTTTGTTGTAGTTTTTCTCTTTCTTTTTATCCTTGAATAAAATGGATTTGAAAAAAAAATACAACAAAAAATGTGAGACTTCCTCTACAGTTTGTGCTTCTGTGTAAGATCCTAAATTTCTGGGGAAAGCGTGTTCTCCAGACCCGTGCCTGGGACTGGACAGTGCAGACCTCCTGTCTCACTAACCCTCCCTTCACGCTGAATGTTGAAAAGCATCAGGCGGCCTCCAAGTGATGTCCTGAGATGGCTGTGTCACCCTCTGAGAGCGCTTGTTCTGGCTTCTTCACCTGCACTTGACTGTGGTTCACTTTTTCTCCTTATAATAAATGATCATCAGAAACAATGATCTGTCTGAAACTGATTTGTTTTGCAGTATTAGGTATATGATTTTGCTTTTTCTACAAACAAAACAAAACAAAGCAAAAAACACATCTTCTAATTTCACAAAGAAGCAAAATCACACCTCTCCAGAATGTTTTTCCAAATCTTTCAGGTCTAAATTTGAGTTAGTTTTGGTCTTCCTCCATGACTAAATTAAAATATCTTTACAAAGTTTAAGAAAATGGAAGTTACCACTTGATTATAGTCTATACATGTTTCTATTTCTAAAAATAAACATTCACGTATCACATCTCATTTTCTCAGTTTGTTTCCCAAAGTAAAACTTGTTTTACTGGAATTTGTGCTTGCAGTTACCAAATGGCTAGCCACAGAGGAATCTGGAATTGCCTGTCAAAATCTCCTAACTACAAAGTTCTTGTGGGAAGGCAGGAATAAAGTCCCAACCCACCTGCTTCACATATTCAAGATGCTTCCATGTGGATACTACAAGTGGCAAACTTCTTTTCAACTCATTTAAAAACTTACTTCCTTCCTTCAAGTAAGAAAGTAAAAAAATCAATAAAAAGGAGGGGGAACTCTTAAAATTCTAATGTAAAAATTATCTAAATTCATGTAACTTTCCAAAGATTATTAAAGAACCAGAAATAACAATGAAATTCAAACAAGCTCACCTTGCATATGGGATGTATGACAGACTGTACCTGCAACAAAGAGCCCAGAATGTTAACATGTGTTCCACACTGCAGCTTCCTTTCCACCAAGAGGCCATGTCTAACACTGCCGCAGGGTGTTCTTCAGAGGCTCTCAAAGCGTGGTCCCAGACCAAAGCAAAAAGGGTCACTTATGAGCCTGTTTAAAACCTGAAGCAGTAGGCCCCACTATCTTTAATCAAAGACAGTTTTATTTATGTTTCTTGGCTTTTTTTTTTTTTCATTGCTGGGGATTAAACCTTGGGCCTACACAAGCTAGGTAAGGTAAGTGCTCTACCACAGAGCAATGGCCCTGAACCACCATTACCAAACACTCTAGATAATTCTAATACATCCTGAACTTTTACTGTTTTATTTTATTTAAATAGAACTATAAAATAACTAAGAAATATTATATTCTCCTTTAGGAATAAGTCAATTATTGAGTAAAATTAGGCAATTGAAGTCAAAAGGAGAAAATAATCAAGATATTCAATTTCTCCACACTGCAATGAAAAAGCATCAACTTTACATTGTAAACATATGTTGATGCTTTACTTATCAATGGAAAAGAGGAACAGGGTCAAGAGAACAACTGATTTCAGGATGAATGACATCTAAAAGAGATTTAAAACTGTAAAACTAGGAGGAAGGTATTGTTATTAGGAGTCAAGCAAGACATACTTCTAGAGAACAAAGCAAACACTCATCATCTAACCTGAAGAGGGCAAGGAGCATATTCAGTTAGACCAAAATTCATTGCCTCTACACAGATGGACCAGATGTGGCGAGGGACACACAAAGGGCTGCAAAGGACACGACTGTCTGACCAGGGAGATGTGCACTTGGATATTCAGAAAGTGGAAGAGAAAAATGCCCACATGGAGCATCTCTAGGTTATCATAGGGCCACTGGGAGGAGCGCCTGCTTGTAATTACCCAGGAACAGAGTGCTGAATACCTGATAAACTGTCCTTCACTCAGGTTCATCCTGTCATTTGGCCTTTTTTATAAGATCATGGGGCACTCACTGACTACATTCCTTAGCATTTTCTGTCACAGGACGTATCACTGTATTTCCATGTGAGCGCAGCTTCTCTGCCCACCATTGGTGCACCCCTCACCTCCACAGCTCCCCTTAAAGGTACTATGCAGGCACACTGTCACCAGCAGCAGGACTTAACCCTCACCTCACCTCACCTCACCTCACCTGGCCTCACAAGCTCTTATCCAAAGCACATGTTTCTAGCCCTAATGTTCTGAGTTTTACAGATTCAAACAAAATGTTTCACAGGCCAGGCGATTTTAGCTTTTTAACTAGTATAAGAAGGACTTACCAGGTCATTGACAAAAACTGCAATATGCAGAATAACACGGCCAACCCCTTCTTATGCCACTAATGAGAGCAAAAACAGAAATGAGTTCAGGAGTTGTAAAAATACTTTTTACAATTAAGTTAAACTTTAGTCTGATAACATTTAGGAAGCTTAAATACTCATAAAGTATATGTCACTTTAAAAACTCTATTATCTATTAAATGTCACTGAAATAACTGTGTAAAAGTAATACACTTTTAAAGATTAGATCCTTAAAATACTTAATGTTTTCTAGGATTAACAATTAAAAGCCTTCTTATTCAGACCACATCCCTTGTGGAATTTACTCATGACTTCTTGTTTCTTTTCTTTTTTTTTTTTTAAATAAAACTATTGGGCCAGGGATTTAGCTCAACGGCATAAGCGCCTGCCTGGCAAGCGCAAAGTTGTGAGTTTGATCCCTGGTACCAAAAAAATAAAACTGTTACAAAAAAATAAAAACTAGTACTATGATCTTCTGGAATAATATAAACAATTTCTATCCCGATTCTCTCTCAAAATATAATCTATTTTGGGAATCCTCTCTTTAATCTATTTTGGGAATTTTTTTGGTTGATTCATTTGGTTTCAGTTTGGGGATCAAACCCAGAACCTTGTTCATGCTGGGCAAACACACTACCACTGAGCTACAGCTATAGCTCTATCGTTGTTTTTATTTAGTTGCTTCTTTATTTTTAATGTTCTTACAAACAGGATGCTAAAACATCCCAAAAATGGAAATCAGTGTTTCTTAGAGATCTACTAAAGTTTTTAAAGAATATTCTTTATCATTAATAAATGAACTTAATGAATTAATAAGTGAACTTAAGTGAATCTTATGTAACTTAAATTGGTCTTTACATCATCAAAATAAAGAAAATCAGAAATTTTTAATGGAGCATTTTAAAAATATATTGCCCTTCTTTTTTAAAAAAATGTGTTATTTTCTTGGTAGCTCAAGAATTGCCGCCAAGCCCTTCGGGCAGCAGGCACGGCACAATGAATGAATAAAATTAAGACTCAGGAGCTGGAGTAAGCGAAGTAGATTATAATAACGCAATGTCCTCAGAGGCTAACGAAGAGCTGTTCACTTATCCCTTAGTGGTAAAACACTCATTTAGGATCTTTTGTCTCTTTTTAGTTACTCTTTTATTTTCCAGTCCTCTTCCCTACTAGTTGAACCATCTTGTCACCCATCCCTGCTCTTGCCTCCTCCTTTTTCCTCCTGAGCCACAGAGTCACAGCACAGCCCACAGCAGTCAGAGCAGAGGACTCAGACATGGATGAGGCCTTTCCCATCCAGATGGCGTCAGAGACATCAGCCCAGCCTCAGCAATGTTAGCTTGTGAGGACTTACATATTCAACAGCTACCTTTGTCTACACTGTAGACAGCAGACACCACTGTATGCCTAGCCAAATCACGTTTTAGGAACACCTAATCTTTGGACAGTTTTAAAAACTAGACTTGGAGCTATTTGAGGCGACTACATAATGATACTGCAGGTTGGTGGGGATATGCAGCAACAGAAAGCCATCATAGCTCATGTAACTTACCCAAAAAACAGCACACAAGGTGAAAACCAAGCATAGCTGTAGGAAAGGAAAAGTAAACAGTCTGAGATCCTTCAAGAGTCAGACACAAATGTACAAACTAGTCTGCATTCATCTGCATAGATAATACATAATTAATAGGAGGCAGTGGACTCTCATTTAACTTACATATTCCAGTACTATCAATTTAAAGTCATGATTGCACTATTCTTGATGTTATGGCTTGTTTCCAGATGCCCCACCCCACCCCACCCCACCCCAACACCAAGCCTCAAGCCGTCGGAGCTTTTTGGAGGTGGCAGGATCTAGGGTGTGTGATTACTAAATTAATGCATTGACTGGCTTGGCACAGTTCTGGGTAGGATTAAGGGTGCTCCACCCTCAGTGTGAGCGCACCCACTCTAAGGGTGGGTAGCCTGGACAGTATCAAGGATAGAAAGAACCTGTCAATTGTCTCTTGCTGCTCGCTACCTCATGCCTGCCATGAACTGTTTCTCCTCTGCAACGTCCCTCTGCCATGCCTTGAAGCTAGACAGCTTCGAACTAAAACCTCTTGTGAGTCAAATAAACCTTTCCTCCTTTAACTTGGGCACTGGGTATTTTGTCTCAACAATAAGAAAAACAACTAAGACATTTGGCAGACTGAAACAACTAATAAATAATCTGTTAAGTAAATTCAAAGAACTTTTGACAAATATTTAGAGATAAAAAGTTGTCCTATGGTTGCTCCTGTTAATGTCTAGCAACAGTGATCATTAGTACAAATGTCAATACAGGGTGAATTCAGTTGTGCTCAACAATGATTCTTGTGATTTTTAATACAGAAAGACTACATGACCCCCTGCCCCTGTGAGAGCAGCTCTACTGCCCTGTCCTGTGTCACACAGGGTGAACAGGAGAGGCAGTTAGATCTAATAGGATCCCAATCCTGTCGCTGTGATCAGTGTCCTGATTTATGCCAGTGAACCTGTCTAGACTTCAGTTTTCCTCTAACAGGGGTCTCTGCCTCCTGCTGCCCTGCCTAGAGGGCTGCAGTAGTGAGAAATCAGAAGATGACTTTATGCAATGTACCTGTGCTGGGATGGCACAAGGATGATGTCTCCTCACCACTATTATAAGGCACAGTCTGTGTGAGCAGCAAATGAGACCGAACAGAGCACTTGTCTGGAGACACTGTCTTCGTTGATGCGCAGACTGGATCCACTTAAACTATGATAGTCCCTCTAGGAAAGTATTTTATACTTCCAAAACGTTCTGACATTCTCTCAACTATCTGTAAGGTATACTGCTTTAAAAAACTTAAGATAGCTTAAAACAAATCTAAGTAAAATTTTAGTGGAATAAAAACTTTTGTAGCTCACCAGTGTAAGATAATTGCCCTGTTACTTAGGTTAAGTTAAATATTAATAAATACATTGAGGGGAAAAGGATATAGCTCAGTAGTACAGCACCTGCCTGCCAAATGCAGGGTTCTGAGTTTGATTCCTGGTACCCGCCTCAAATAAAAATAAAATAAAATACATTCATATACTCTGTAAGCTATAGGCAATTCAAGAGTTATAAAAATAATTAAACAATAAAAATAAAATTAAGCCAAAACAGCTCCCCACCAAAAAAAATGGCATAAGACTGCCAGGCAGATTGTAAACATTTTCTTACAAATTAAATGTAGGTTCGTTGTGTTTCAAAAGATAACGTTAACAATTCAAAATAAAAACTAGTTAATACTGACTTAAATTCTTTAAACACAGCTGGGTATGGTGGTGCACATCTGTATCCCAATATAGGGCTCCACCTCATGCAGCTGAGCTAAATCCCCAGCACTTTTTTTTTGGTACTGGTGATTGAACTCAGGACCTTGCATTTATCAGGCAAGTACTTATGCCCCTGAGCTAAATCTCTAATCCCAATACTTTGAGAGGGCAAAGGAGGGAGAAAGAACTTTTAAGTCTGAGCCCAGTATGTACAATTTTAGTGAAACCCTGTCTGAAGATGAGGGGTTGAATGGGGATGATGTAGTTCAGTGGGAGGGCCCTGGGCTTAATCCCCAATACTGGGTGGGTAGGAGGCTCTCAATATCACAAATGCTCTACAGCAATAGAAATTGCTAAGAGATGCTGATCCAGTGAGTTGGGAACCAGAGACATGATTTGAGCAAGCTGTTGTTTCTCTGTCTATCCTACACAAAACATCAATCACCTAAAAACCTAAAATGTATGATGATGGAAACACTCTAGCCACACTCTACACTCAGACTGAAAATTAAGAGAACACTTAAGAGTAACAACTGCTGGTCTTGGGCAGGACCCACAATGCCAACTTAAAAGGGCAACTTAAAAGTACAATATTGTTAAAGAAGCCACACTGTTAGAATTATTTGTCAAGTAAGCAATGCAGGTACAAAATCTAGACGGCAAAAAATGCCAGATCTTCCTAACAAGATGCAAATGAACTCAGAAGTAACCTATCTTCTATTCCTTCCCTTCAAACAGTATAGACAATCCAACAATCTACAGGGCTGAAAAAGCTCTAATTTTCATTATATGTGCACACACCTACAATGATGGATAATATACAACAGAAAACAGTTTTTAACCCAACTATAATTTTAGGAAATATAGTACAATACAAATGCTAATCACATACTTTTGAGAACATAATTATTTTATTCAACAAGGGTACAATGTACATACCTAGGAGCAATTATTCATAAAATAATACATAAAATACCTTTACTAGGAAAAGCTTTTAAAAACTAGTATTATTTACTTACAAGCATAACAATTGTTGCAAGTAATCTTGTTGTTTCAAACATTTTCTTCAACTGCTTCATGGGTCCCATTAAAAAGCACGTGCTATTTAAAAACAAAAAGCAACTGAGACGGCTGTGCTGATTTTTCTGGCTATACAAAAATAAACTGCTTTTAAAAAAAGACTTATTTAATAAAAATCCTCCTCTACTGTGTTTTGTTTTTCCTAACTTTAAAAGTATACTCCACAAATACTATGGTTCGAACATGCTGCTGAAGTGACAGCTTGCAGCTGTGACAAAGCTACAGGGCTGCTCCTTTCTAAGTGAAATCAGGGCCTTGTTTCTCCACTTTCCCCACTCTAGGACAAGACCTCACCAGACAACCCAAACTTTTATCTTTAATTTCCAGCCTCCAGAATTTTAAGAAGCTTTAAATTTATTAATTGCTTAGTCTGAGGTATTCTGGTTTTTTTTTTTTTTTTTTTTTTTTGGTCTTTTTGAGACAGGGTCTTGCTGTGCAGTTCAGGCTGGCTTTGAACTCACTTTGTAGCCCAGGCTGGTCTCAAACTTGCAACAATCCTCCTGCCTCAGCCTCCTAATGGTAGGAGTGCGCCACCATGTCTGGCTTGTATGAGGTATTCCATTAAGCTGCACAAATGGACTAAAACAAGCTGCATATCCAAAGATGCAGTGAAAGTGTCAAAAAGGAACTCAGCACACAAACAACGTAGCTATTCTGTTACTGCCACATCACCGATTTTCTTTGCACTATGCCAATACTATCCTATCTTTTTCTAGTTTGTTATTCAGCCATCTCTAACCCTGAGCTCCACAGGAGGAAGGGCCAGGATGCAGCACCTACAAGTCTAGACTCTGGAGCCGACTGCTTGCCTACAATTCCACCCCACTTGACTTATGAGGAGCCCCACTGTGGGCAGATGATTCACTGTCTACGTAACCACAGCCAGCTAGCCCACAGGAACAAGACAGGCCCTTACCTCATAAACCTGCTATAACAGATACAAGGCACTCAGAGGAGTACCTGGCATATGGCATGTGCTCCCCAAAATGCTGCCCACTCTCGTTAGTTCTCTGTCTGTTACAGAAGCTGGCATGTAGCAGGAGTCTGTATTATGGAATGAATATAAATGTTGTAGCTGATTTTATACCATGTACAGAGTTATAGAACCTTCTACTAGCTAAGTGCATGTTAAAAAGGTAAATTTGATAGTGACAGCAAAACTTGCATTTTGAGAAGCCAAACATACACACACATACCTGGCTAATGCTGCAAGATTTCCAAGGGTATAAAACACTGCAAAAAGCTTTATGCCACCAGGAAGCCACAGCAATGCAGTTCCCTAAGTCAGACATTATAGTTAGTTAAAAATAACCTCATGATCTTAATGACTGATATTATAAATGAGGCACACTAATATAAATATTATGTAATAATGTTAATAGATTTGTGTTAAAACATAGTCTCTACATAGTAAAAACAAATTTCAATGTTATATATTAATATCTTTTTTGCCTATTTGTATAAGTATATACAAATGTGCCATAACAAAACTTAGTACTTGTCAATAAATCTTACTCTATTAAAATCACTCATTTTAAACGTCCAGTTAAAACAAGTAAAAAACACATTTACTCTTGAGTTCTCAAGACACACTGATGTTATCTCAGTAAAATAAATTTAACAATTTGCAAAACTCTAGTTTCTACATCTTTTTATTGGTTTCTAACACTTTATTTCAGCTAAGTATGTTCCATCAAAACAGTCTACCAAGCATTTAGGTGAAGTAGATTACTTTTTGGTATTAATACAAAATAAAATTATTAAGCAATCTACTTACAAGGATAGAAAAGGAAACACCAGCCACGAAGCATATGACAAACCACTTCAATCTAGTGTTGAAACTAAGGGATGAAGCATCCAGAACCTTAGAAAGAGAGGGATAATTTAGAATTAAATCATCATGTGCTAATTTGACTTTTTACATTATCAAGGCAAAATTTTAACATATATGCTCAGTGTTTGCTTTGCATGTTCAATGTAACATCTGTAGAGTCATAAGATCAGGATATTTTATCAAATGACACTGCAAATTTCACCAAGGCTGATAACAATATTACTGATACTTCACAAAATGATGTTTCTATTCTAGACATAGATGCATACTGATCAGGATAAAATGGCATAATGTAGGAGACAGATAAAAGATATATGAGGAGTGAAAATATAGGGAACAGGTAAACAAGGTGGGCAACATGCTGGTAACTGCTGAGGTTGGGTGGAAACAAACAGGGGTCTATGTCCTCTAAAAATTCTGGGTTTCAGGGCCTGAAATGCACAGCCTTCTCTTGGCAGAAACATTTGAAGAAGTATGAGCAGCTGGACAGGAAGAAGAAAGTGCTAAGCAAAGATGTGGTTTCAGCTGCTGAGGGGAAGTCCATGGGGGTGGGGTGTTAAGAGGCAGATCTGCTTGAGACAGGGGGACCCTCCCCTTCAGCAATTACGGGCTGTAGCTGGAGTGCAGTGGGAGTCACTGTACCTTGCAGGGAGTGCAGCAGTGCAGCATACTGCACCAGCTTAAAAGGGAGCCTGAGCAGGGTCTGCAGCATCCTATTCACATAGCGTAATTAACAACTTTCATCATAAAAAGATTAAACTGGGTGTGAAGAACCACACCTGCAACCCCAGAACTCCGGGAGGCTGCGGCAGGAAGATTATCTGTGCAAACTGGAGAATTTGGGACTTGGTGAGACCTTGTCTCAAAACAAAAATTAAAAAATAAAGGAATGGGGAATGTAGCTCGGCATGATGGCTCTGAGTTCAATACTCACCCCCCCAAAAAACAACACCTCCCCACAAAAAAAGAAAGAAAATGCAAAATTCATTTCAAGTCAATTCACAAGTGCACTAGGACCTCCTCAACTGCTGAAAAAAAATACATTTTTAAAATGATTATGTGGCTGGTGTAGTGGCACACACTTGTAATCCCAGCACTGGGGAGGTTGAGGCAAGAGGTCTGCCATGCATTCAAGGCCAACCTGAACTACATAGTGAGTTCAAAAAACTACATAGTGAGATCTTGTCTCAAAAAAATAAAAATAAAAATAAAAATAAAAATAAATGATTGTAAGCCATGCAAATTCTAACCAAATTATGTAGGAAAAAGAAATTGCTATGTTTGTATTAAACGAACAGAATGACAATCCACCATACAGTAATGAGTAAGCATTTAGATCACCAAGTCACTACTAAAATTTACATTTCTAACTTATACTAATACATACACTTGTGGTTTGGATCTAGAATATCCCCCAAAACTCTCCTGTTCTCAGATGTGGGAGTGTTGAAAGGTGGATTACGGGGACACTGTACATCTTAGTGGATTCATCCACTGTTAAGGAGCGGAGTGTGCTGCTAGGTGGTGGGCCCTGGTGGGAAAGGTGGGTCCCTGGGCTTCCCCACTCCATCCTTTATTCTTTCCTTCCTGGCCGCCATGAGTTGAGCAGTGTCCCTCCACTGGCCCTTTCCACCATGCAGTTTCTGCCTTGGAGCCAGCAGGGCCATGGACTGTAACAGTGAGCTAAAAAAAACCCCTCCCCCTTTAAAGTGGGAGTGTTGAATATTTTGTCCCAGCAACAAGAAAGTGACTAAGACAACATATAAAAATAAGACTACATATTTATGATGGGGTTTTGAAAATCATGAAACAAAGAAAGGAAAGTTACATAAAGCAGCTCACAATACCTTTAATTTTATTCCTTACCTCAGTAGATAAACTCAGAATCCTTGTGCAGCATGAAAAGCAAATAAAATAGCTAAGTAGTTTGTCCATGTAACACATCTTAAATGTTTTTAAACTTTGTTTTAATTTCAGACATTTTTATTTCCAGTAATGTCATGTGTCTACAGCAAAACTGTTTGGTTAGATAAATGAACTTGCCCATAAAACATATAATTTTCATTGCTTCTGGTCAGGAAGAATACATCATATACATTTTAACAAAGCAAAAAAAAAAAAAAAACCCTAAAGACTCTTTTACTTAGTAAATAATCTAATAAGTCACTAAAAAGTAGAAATATTAATTTTGCCATTCCACAATGTATGTACATGTGTACGGAAATACTCTGGTATATATCATAAATTATACAATTCTATTTGTCAATTTAAAAAATGCAAATGATACGCTAATTATGATTTCTAAAGGTTAATGAGTCTACAACCCCATGAAGACTAATGGGGGAAGGGAAAATAATTCATTTTTATTTTTCTTTATAAATTTACATCATCACATTGTTTCTAAATTTAATGGACAGAACATTTTTAACAGCCAAATTATTTTTCCCATCAGTAATGAGAGGATGGTTATTTGGACAATGGTCACCTTTTCCCTCTTATTCCAGTCTTCTGTGTAACAGTCTTTAAAAATGAAGCCCAGTTTTCTTTCTCTTTTTTTTTTTTTTAAATTAGTTCTAGGGATCAAACTCACGACTGCGAGCTTGCAAGAAGCCCAGTTTTAATTTGCAAATATGGAATAATCAATCCACAAGCAAATGACTTGTGTCCCAGATACAAAAACAAATCAGATTTCCCAACTCCTAATTGGAAGAACTGTGTAATGCTTCAACATGCAAGAAAATCTCTACATTTTTCAGGTAGGAGACAAAGGTCTTCCTTTTCCCAGCCTCCAGTTCTGCTCTGCATAAGCGCCTGTGTGTTACTTTCTTTTTCAACTAGCATGAGGAACAACTCCAGCCTATGTGCTGATCTCTTAAAACTTAGCCCTACAACAAAAATACATGTACATTAAAATAGCCACCTTATCCCTCTCAAAAACCCCCCAACATTTATTTTACTGATTTGTCACCAAAGGAAAAGGAAGCAAAAAGAAAGGGGGAGGAGAGCAAGATTCACTCTCCCCATCCTCAAGGGCTTCACCACGTCATGCTAAAACACCACAGCCTGTGACAGAACCCATGAGAAATCCACAAGCAAAGGGAAAAAAACAGGAAAAGATGAGCAGCAGCTGCATCAAGGATAGGCGAAGGGATCCTCTTAAGGACAAGCTGAGTTTTGGTGGGGAGGGAGTCACAAGGGACAGCTGGCTCCTTGTTACTGGCCTCCAGGGAAAGGGTCTCAATCAAGGGAGCACACCAATACCTTTACTTCTCCATTCCTTTTTCAAAGTAACAGTGATGCATAACAAGTTAAAGATCTGTAGACAAATCAACACAAGTAATAACAATTGCAGCAGCACAAACAGCTGCCCAACTTGCTTGGGGTGGGAATGGGGGTCACCAGCCACTCTCACCCTCCTCCTCTGTCTCCTGCTCTCTGTCATTCTCTCTCCTGATCAAAGGTCCTACCCGGGTCCACCAAACGAATGAAAACAGCATGGCCTCTTGCTCCTCATCCCAAATCTCTAATGGTCACTCTCAAGGCTCTCTTACCACCTGAGACCATCCATCTCTAAAATTCAAGTTCTTACTCAACAACCCCAATCTCTTCCCACAGCTGATTCAACAGCTGGGACCTGACTGCTCCTCTACTAGTACCTTTTAGTTGGCCCATGGCCCTTTCCCTCTTTCTCAGTAGGAATTACATGGTACATAGCTTTGATAAGATAACCAAAATTCTTTGTCTGTTGCAGCCATCTGACAGATTCCCATTGTGAGGTAAACCTTCCTTCCTCTACTTTAGCAGTCCCTCAACTAAGCATTGCTTGGGGACTGTCATGGGACAGACATACAGGAGCATCTAAAAGTTTCAGCAATTTATACTATCAGGTTTTTTCCTGTTCTTTCTGAGACCATGGCCATTTACTTTTACACGTTTTAAACCTCCACCATAACAAAAATCTGACTTGTCATCATTCAGCCTCTACACATTCATTCCTCCATTCACTTCTTCATTAACTCATTTAACTAACACATACTGAGTGTGCCTATGGGCTTCTCTAAGTACTGGCTAAGAGGTCCATCTCCTAATTAAATACCTATGTGCTGGTTACTCTAACTAAAACACCAAACTAGGCAACTAATAAAGAACAGAAATCTATTTCCAACAGCTGTTGAAACTGCACATCCAAGATCAATGTACCAGCAGATTTAAGTGTCTGTCGGATGGCACATGCTGCTGGGAGCAAACAATGTCTTTTATAAGGGCACAAGTTGTGTTCCTAATCACTTCTCAAAGGCCTTAGCTCTTAAAACTCTTATCCTGAGACTCAGGATTCAAAATCTGACCCAGGAGGCCAGGGGCCAACGTTCAGACCACAGCACAGGCCTGACCATACACAATGGCCACAGCTACTCATACTGCTGCAGTCTAGACTTTAGCCTTTAGCTGGCTTTGGCCAGCCCGGGCCCCTTCACATAGTTTGTGCCTCCTCTCCTGGCTGTGTCTGAGGCAGGAAGAGGCCTGCTGGGCTCTCCTTGACTACTCTAGCTTCATCCCTTACCTGACTGAAGATGCAGACATAAAAGACCTTCCTAGCTTTCAGTCACGAGATTCTTTTTCTTTGAGACATGAACCTTCTTTTCATTCTGAGAGCACTGGACACTTGGGTACTCTCCCTGGACCTACCTTCTCTGCGACCTGTTCCTGTAGCACTGCTCTGGACTGTCTTGTTCCTTGTCCCTCTGTAGCCTTGGTTCCCTCTCCCTGGAAAGATAATGCTTCTTCCAGCCTCCCCTTCCCTGCTGTCCTGATCTCTTAACATGTTGTCGCTGGCATGAACCACTGGCAGTACATCCATAACTCCCACCGGCAGCTTGAATGACTCTAATCACTTTTATCAGTCGTTTTAATAATAAAATTAATTAAAAGTTATCCAATAGGACAGTCATGCATGAACCACCAGAGGTTCAAGCTACCAACAAGACATGAATTACAGCTCTGGGATGAATGTGTTAAACACTTGCCCAACC